TAAGTATTTTGGATTTAGTTCCTGGTACCCATAACATAACCTGTGCCAGTGATTTTAGGAATTTGGCACAAGATAACTAGGTAGGAACATTACCAAGATTTCTGGAGTTAATACTTCCTTATTTATCACTGTAATCCTGAGGAAACATGGCACCTACAAAGGTGACATTGATTTCCTGCTCTGAGCAGTGTGGAGCTTTGGTGTGCGTTACTTGTGTCTTGTGTATTGCTGTGCTATGTTGACCCACATGCCCATCTTTGAGTGAACCACACCCATCTTTTTCCACCCTGCCCATTTGGACTGGAAAGGCTTTATTCCCTATCAGTACTTCCATGAACTTTTTTTTTTTTTTGAGGAAATCTGATTTCTGCCAATGAAGCATCTGTCCATGGGTTTTCTTTTGTGCTCTCCCAGCAAGGAGGGTTTACGACACTGAACAGTTGTCGCCCACCTGGCTGTGTGAAAGACCATGAAAATGATGAGTGCTTACAAAAAGGCAAGGCAGGGTAGACTGTGGGCTCTGGCCCATTTCCCATCACAGCAGACCCCACGTGCTGAACACCTCAAAATGGGTTATAGGTGTGCCCACAGGCTGCTAGGGGATTGAAAGAAAAGAAAAGAGGAAGGGGAGGGATATTGTAATTAGATGGCATTGACTGATGGCCCACTTCATGGTTACTGATGGTAACCATGGATGGGGGTACAGGAAAATGAGAAACAAATGCGGTCATGCAGTCAGGATTTCATTCAACATCGAAGACCCTTGGAGCATGAGGCAGCTTTGACAGGTACAGACTTCTACTGTTACAGTGACATGTCCCTTTGAAGTGGCTAATCCTTTTTCTGGATTCCTGGTCAACCTCTGAAAGTAGACTGGTATTCTGCCAAGAGCTTAAAGAAGCATGCATTCCTATACCTGTGAGGCTATCTGGAATTCTTTTTGCATTCTCTCACTTCTGTTGATCAGATATTTACATTTCAGCTACTTCAACATCGCTCAAATTTTTTTTTCCCATACATGTATTTTCTTACATTGTTCCTCATTTTTTGTACCTAATCGGTTTCTACCTTCAAGTGTCGTCCTTGTAGTTCCCCCACCATTTCACCTATGAATTGTCACCATCATTCCTTGTGCTATTCCATCCCTTGTCATGGCCCCCTTGACCCCCCTACCATAGGCCTCAGCTCTATGGTCAGCTTGAAAATCTTGTCCTTTTTTGACCTTTTATTCAATCTCTCTACATTCTACATATAAATGAAACCATCTGATATTGACCTGTTTCCTTCTGACTTATTTCATGTAGTGTTCTCTCTTCTATCTCCATCTACGTTGCCACAGTGCATGAATTTATTTTTCGTTGCTGAGTAGTATTCCATTGTATAAATATACCACAACTTTTTGACCCATTTGTTGTTTTGGGGCATTTAAATTATTTCCATATACTGACTATTGTGAATAATACTGCAAAAGCCATACAGGTGCAGGTTTCCTTTTGATGTAGTGCTTTTGTGTTCTTTGTATAGATTCCTAGGCATGTATTATGTGGTAGCTCTATTTTTAGTGTTCTGAAGAAACTTCACATGGCTATCCATAGTGGTTGGACCAGTTTACATTCCACCAGCAGTGTAAAAAAGTTCCATTTTCCTTTTTCCTTCTGGCTTATTTGTTGTTTCCAGTTTTTTTAATATGAGCCATTTTTACCAGTGTGAAGTGGTATGTCATTGTGGTATGATTTGCATTTCCTTGATAATGAATAAACATTTTTTATATGTTTTTTAGCCATTTGCATTTTCTCTTTGGAGAAGTGTCTTTTTATTTCTTTTGCCCAATTTTTGACTGGATTGCTTTGTTTCTGTTGAGTTGTGTAAGCTCTCTGTAGATCTTTGATATTGTTCTTTTATCTACTATGTAAGTGCAAATATTTTCTCCTTTTCTGTAGGATGTCTCTTTGTTTCAGTTACTGTGTCTTTTGCTGTACAGAGCTTTTATAGTCTATTGTAGTTCCAGCTCTTAATCATTGTCTTTGTTTTCCTTGCTTCTGGAGATGAGTCCTCAAAAATGTTTCTGACGCTTATGTCAAGCCACTGATATGTTCAACGAATCTATTACAAAGAATATACACTATAAAGAATAAGGACAGCCCCTTCAATAAATGGTGTTGGGATGACTGAACTACAATATGTAAAAAAATGAAAATAGAGGCCCTCCCTGGTGGCGCAGCGGGTTAAAGCACAGCACTGAGAATCTAAAGCCGCTTCCTCATGAGTTCGATTCCCGCCTGCCCCAGAGGTGACCACATGGC